GGTCTGCGACTAAAAACATCTGCAACAGAACCGGAAGGTGTTTTTGATCCGCTCTACTCGGGAACAGTACTTTATAAGGCAGTTTGTAGTTGACAGTTGGAGGCATAAAGTCAGAGGTCATTTCTGTTGCANTGATGAATTTCTAATTCAACTTCGACCTTTTCATGAATATTTGTTCCCATAAACTGAAAAATATCATAAAGTACACCCTGTTCGTTCAAATTGGTCAATCTAAACATAGGTAGAATAGAAAAATAACGGCTAGATGCACTGAATATAGACTTGTGTACATTGCCAATTGCACAAAACAATCTGATGCAGAGTAAAATAGACTGCTGGTTGACACTGGAAATCACAGCATTCTGGAAATGACCTCTTCTACGAGAAGCCTATGACTCTCCCTGGTTGCCAACAGGAAGCTTGGAACAAGTATTTTTGACAGCGAGTATGATTGCTGTCTCTGTTCTGGCGAGTGCCGCCCTTATTAGTAGACAGTAACCCCATAACTAGTGTAGAGGATAGCGAGTCTTGTTATATACTAACTTTGATTCAATAAATTGTGTATTTTCGGTAACCTAGTGTTTTACCCACGTAACCCTTAAGGCAATAATAATAGCCTTATACTCTGACATTATTCCTCCAACTGTCAACTACGAACTGCCTTATACAGTACTTTTCTCAAGTAGACCGGATTCTCCGGACGAATGAAATATTAATAGTAGATAGGTGTTGGTTTACGGATGGGTCAGAAATACCTTCAGGCTCTAGTGCAGGTGTTTTCAGTTGCATTTCAAATGGAAATCTATGCGAATGAATTGTGTGCGGGAAGATTGGTAGAATCCAACATCATACACAAGTCAATGAACATATTCTCGATCAAACGGCGATGAAAGCTCTTGGCTCCAACTGAGCAACGCCTAAATTGGTAGCAAATTGGCAAAAACTCAATAGGAACACTCATTAAATTGTCTCTGGTCTGGATTCCTGGCCATACTGACCTGGTAGGCAATAAGGGTGCTGACTCCCTTGCAAATGAGGGGAGCTGCAAGCGGCTTCAACGGATCAGAACTTATCATTGGCATCGCTGTACGTTTTGCCAAACAAACACTGAACGCCCGGAGGGCAAGAAGATTTGAATACTTCTGACGAAATCTATCTCTCTTTTCTTGCCTTGGCTGGAGGTTGGAGTTGTTATTTAGAAACCTGTCTTCGTGCATAAGTTTCTTGTGACTCAACGTTCCATTCATACATATGTTGTACGTATGTACAAACACATCTCAGATTCTCTTTTTCATTGTCAATTGGAGTTTTGAGTTGAGAGACAAGAAAGAAATTCTTTAAAATGCTTCTCATTCTGCTGCCATACATAAACGTGGTAGTGGTTCCACAGCAGCTCGCTCTTGGGCACCTTATCCTAGTTTCTTCATCAAAAAGGTTTGCCACCACACTAATTAACATGCTATCATTGCGGTGCCCTTCGTTTGTACATAGAAAATACTGTCACACTGGAAATACATCTATTTTAAACACTGAGCAAACAGAGCGAATATATCTACACAGAATACTTCGCTGATTATTATTTTCGACCGACACCATTGTATACAAGATAACCAAGTCGGAGCTCGCTAGAAAGTCTACTGAACCTAACTGCATTTCTCTTGTCCTAAATCATGTTGGTGATTCGAGTCTTCAATGAATTAAACTTTATTTTTTGTAAGTGACTGCCGTAGGGACGACGTTAGCTGCCACTGAAACCTATCGTGAATACGATAGGTTCACCAACTTATGATCTGGCCGAACACTATAGATGAAGATGAGACATGGATTTTAGAGTCTGGAGTTTTAGAGAGAGATTTACAGAAAATCTACTCACTCAGTGAGGTATTTGAGAAACTCTAATTACTACTCACGATAAAAAAGTGGGTGATCAAAATAGGTCTGACGCATTTGTGAACCTGAGAGTCTGTCCAAGATACATGATCATTTGAAAAATGGGAATGGATATAGCGACGATTTTGAGAGAGTAATAAGACCCAGAGAAGAGAAAGCCAAGAAACTGCCAACGAGAACCATCAGACTGAGTCTAAGGTCTACTAAGGACTCCAGAGGACCTTCAGCCTTGACCCAAGTTTTCGAGATACAACTTACTTTCCAGGACTATATAGAGAGGCGATAGGAATTCAGAAATAGAAGCAATTCCACCTGAAAGAAAAAGGGACACAGTGTTTTTTGGCTTTTTAGTTTACACTGTTAGATCATCCGTATTTGTTATCTGGATTAGATAATGTTGAGTTCGTTTATTTGATTGCCGGACTGTTAATCTGTGGACACTCCATATTTTATTTGGCTACTATACTGGTTATGAGAGCAACAAAGCTGGGCCGCCTAAGCTTTGGGCTTTTTGCACTATCATTTGATTTTTCCATCGATTTGTCTCTACAGACCATTTTCCAATTAGTTATTTCATGAATTCTCAGTCGTACTTTTCAGAAAACTGTCTGAATTTTGTACGAATACAAAAAATAGGAGTGAACTGGTCCAAGTGAAAACATTCTCGATTTCCAACACTTTTTGACATTGCATAAATGTCTTCTGAAATGATTTTTTGTCAATATATGAAAAGTTTTTCATCAAAAATTTACTTAAACTTACCTACAAAAATGACTTTATACACAGTTATTTACATAATTGTACGTAACCTAGTGAAGTCAGTTTTCCTGATCCTAAGAGATTATCCTTTCAATGAACGGAATCCAGACCATATGCGACTGAGATATACACAATTGAGAAGGCACTGCTCAATATAGTCTCAGAGTTGAATAAATAATATGACTATCACTATTTGAAATAAAAATATGGATACGTTTGACAGAAATGGATTCTCACTTCAAAACTCAGTTTCAAGAAACCAAATTGTGATAAAATACAAGTGAGTGTTGAATAGATCACTGCTACTTTCCGAAAAATCTTCCGTAATGTTTTGTAACCATTGAAAGTCTTTTCCAACATATCGTTGATGACTAACGAACAGTTCAACTTCTACCTTTGATCAGATTGCACACACACTTACCTCTTTGTAAAATCGAGCTAATATACGGATTCTGTCCTCTCGTTTTGAGGGAGGAACAGTTCCAACGATGTCCTTGAAACTGATATTGGCACTCATTGACGGCTTCGTTCAATCCTTGAAGTGCGACTAGAGTGGCATTGGGTTGGCGGTAACATAGGTTTATTTGGGCTCTTGTAAGGCCAGGCATGGTTCTGCAAACGGTCGTGTCTATATAGGGTGTGTAGTAGGGATGCAGTTGTTGACGATTGAACTTGGAAGTTTTGGCCTCTAATTTACTGAAAATAAAAACGTTAACAATTTGAGTATATTTTTCGAAGTCCATTTCGTAGGATGTCATGATGTTGCATAAATGGGCAATGAACATGAAAAACAATAATGGTACTCCATTCAAGCTATATGGAACTCCTGATGGATGCAGTAATAGTAGAATGAGAAAATATATGTTATCAAAAATCTAATCTCCAATATACCAACGTGGATCAATGGAGTATTAGAATGTAGCATGGTAGTCCAAGGATTGAGTCGAACTTGTCAAATTTAATTGTTTGAGTTCCCTATTGTTTGATTGTCGATTGTTACGTCCGATTGAAGGAATTTCACTGAACAGTGCACAAAACCACCACACGTTTGTATTATGCTCCTTCGTCTAGAGTTCCTCGGGGGTTTTATTTAGGAACTCCATTTTCTACAATTTTCGTTGATGATCACATCTTTTTCTTCTAAAATTATGAAAATTTGATCCATTTTGCATGCCTTGTGACAGATATTTTGGCCGTAAATAACAAGACCTCTGTCCTATTGACATTTTCACACTAGGTAAGAACATTGCTTGTTTGTTTCGTGTGAAACTTTCGTATGTGACAAGATTCAGGAGTGAGTAGGTCTATTCGTCCCTCCACCACAACCCACAAGAGTTTATTGTGGCTCATACATATTCACACTCGGTCAAATAAACCCAGCTTCTTAACGAAGCCGATTAGTTTGTATGGTGAGTGGCCTTTAGGGTCAGATGGTGAGAGTACGGATATGCCGAACTCTAAGAACCTGATTCGGTCCCCAGCGGGGCAGGCACAAAGTATATGCTCTGTTGTTCCATCATTTTCCAGATAGAGGCGACACACACTGTCTTTCGACAGTCCAAGTCTCTGCATATGGTGATTCAAGTGACAGTGACCTGTAAGAAGGCCTGTTAGACATCGTAGTTCATCCCTACAGTAGTCCAAAACTATTTGGTACCAAGCTTCGAAGGGTGAATAAACGTCTTGGAGTCAGCCAATCCTGGAAGATTCTGTCAGAAGTCCATGAATCTTCTTGCCATCCAGGTGTTCAGTGTTTGTTTGGCACAGCCCGAAGCGATGCCAATGACAGGTTCTGGTCCAATGAAACCGTTTGCAGCACCCTCCTTTGCAAGAGAGTTAGCAGCTTCATTACCTTCCAGGCCAGTATGGCCAGGAATCCAGACCAGAGATAATCTGTTAAGCCTTCCTATCGAGGAGAGTCGTTTTTGGCAGTTTGCTACTAATTTAGACGTTGCTCGGTAGGAGCCAAGAGCTTACAATGCCGCTTGACTGTCTGAGAATATTTTTATTGACTTGTGAGTAAGGTTGGATTTATTCAATATCTCCGCACACAATTCAATAGCGTAAATTTCCGCTTGAAAAACAGTCGCCTAAGTTCCTAGGCAGGTAGATAACTCTGTTCTAGGTCTGCGACTAAAAACACCTGCACCAGAACCGCAAGGTTTGATCCATCTGCGAACCAACAACGATCTGCTTTTAAAATTTCCTTCTCCTGGAGGATCCAGTCCCCTCTATTCGGAAATAATACTTTATAAGGGAGTTCGTAGTTGACAATTGGAAGCATACAGTTAGAGGTCATTTCCAGAATGCTATGATTTCCAATGTCAACCAACAGTCTGTTGGTTGACATTGTACTTGCTTCGGCGGTACATATACTAAAATTGGAACGATACAGAGAAGATTAGCATGGCCCCTGCGCAAGGATTACTAGGGTAGTCAGGACAGATCTAAAGATCCATTTTTGAATTATTTCAGGAGCATTGAGGTGAGTCTTGGAAACTCCACCCCAACCAATTATTCCATGATTCATATGGGATTCCACCAAACTCTTATTCTTTGCTTTGTGTCGAGAATGTTGGTAACTTTTTTGAATTCATATAGAAAACAAACAAAGTTTTTTTTATGTACTCTGTGTGGTGGTTCAATTTGGGATTGGAGTCAATTAATAGGTCTAGATATTTCATTATTTTTTTCAGATTTTTACAGCTTCAATGAATGCTGTAAGTTCAAATTTTGCTAGGCATGAATCGTAGATACTGACTGATGAGTAGAAACTTTTTTACAATTGATCGATAGAAGCCTATAGTCAGACCATGTTTTCATTTTCGTAGAGGGCTTGTTCGAGTTTCATTTTCAAATCAAACCAGTTATTGCCACCATAGGACATTACAGTGATGTCATCAGATGTCAAACTGATAATTGTTGAATGGGTTCTCATCAAGAATATTAGCGTATATAAAATCAAAAATACTTGTTTCCAGAACAATTTATACTCGTATGAGTATAAAATATAAAAGTACAAATCAAATAATAATTAAATGATTTCACCAATATGTGTGTCGAATGCTTTCGTGAGGTCTAAGAAAATATCAATTGATGGTCTGGATTTATCCATGAACTCGTACATGTTTTGAGTCAGAATCCTAAATGGATCTTGTGTAGATTTTCTCCCTGAAAACATATCGAGATTCGGACATCAATTCATATTTCTCATGAATGGCCGGAGGAAATAATTTTGTCTAGTGTTTAGTCACTAATACTTCGTTTTTGAGCTCTGTGTCACAGTGCTGTGAACAATGATGTATACAAAAAAAATTATTTTTTCTTTTGTGTTTATCTTCCTCATATCTATCATTAAGAACCACCCCGTATATCAATCGAAAAGAAAACTCCCATCAAAAAGCAAGCCTGGTTGAAACTCACGAATCAGTTCGAGAACAGTTTTATTGTGCTGTCTTCTTCTTTCGAAGGGTACCAAATAACAACATCCTTGGCGGGCAACGGGCATATCAGTGCTATCTAGAGCTCTACCTTCGATGGCATTCCAGACAGAAGAATGCCAGCAAGTAAACCGTGCGGACGCACGTGGGAAAATACCCGAGCCGAACGAAATTCATATCATGCTCGAGATTTATTTGAATATCTTGTTTTATCGTTTCACTAATTGGAATCAGAAAGGATGAGGCTGGAATGAAGGAATGCTTTGGGGAGAAGTTTGGAGTTCGAGATGGGGTGCGGAGTTGTGAAAGAAACAGGAATTCCAAATGCTCGACGACGAAGTTTGATAGAATGAGGAATTCAGTGAATAATTCAAAAAATGTGTTGAAAAAGGTCCCAAAAAACACAAAAAACGGTTCTCTTTCCACTTGCAATAAACACATGCGATGAAAAATCCCGGATCTAAAAGAAAAAACACGTTTTTTCGTTTGAAATTGGCTTTATTCATCAACGTAATTTCCGTCAAGAGCCACACAATTATTTCAGCAACATTTCAGTACCACTTTTGTAGAACAATTCATCTGTTGCCTCAAAATAGGCCTCAATTTCAGCAATAACCGATCAGCAATAATCGATCGAAATTTCTTACCGGTGAGCATTTTCTCGCTGGAAGCCAAATCTGGCGAATACGCTGGATGTGAAAGCAATTCGAAGTTCAACTCATGTAGTTTTGACATTGTTTTGATTGATGAAACAATTTTTTTTGCCATATGCGGTCGTTTCTTTGCAATTTCGGCCTTCAAACGCTCTGGGAACGCTATACAATTTTCACTGTTGATGGTATTTCTCTTCACAAGATAGCAGATAAAAATATAACATCACACACACATCCTAAATATCGAGGCCATAATTTTTCCAGCTAACTTTGGTGCTTTTGAACGCTTCGGACGAGGTTCACCAGTGAAATGCTTATGCAATATAAAGACAACACGTTCTTTTGATAACTTTACAATGTCAGCTAACTCACGCAACTTCACTTTTCGACCATTCAAAACGATTTTGTGGATTTTTTAATGTTTTCTGGTGTTACTGCATCATTTGGACGTCAACTGTGTTCTGCATTATAGATGTCTCTACGACCATGTTTGAAGTTAGCAAACCAACGTTTTATTGTTGTTTCTGATGTAGCGGAGTCCTTATAACACTTTTTTTTCAAGACATTGCTTCGCTTGAACGGTATTTTTTTCCCATCAAGGGGCAGTGTAAAATCAAAACACGAATTCGATTTTGATCCCTTGTTTTGAAAATGACGGAAATAGAGTCACACTTAGAACAATAACTCACAAACTTGTGAGTAGAATATCATGAAATTTCAACAGCTTTCTTTTGGAGGCTTGTAATAACGTAAAAAGTGGTGAATGCAATAAGACTAACGCCATCTAGGTGTTAGGCCCTAGAGTTTTCAGCTCATGTAGTATATGTTCAGAATTGTATTATGAAAAATGTTAGCCAAGACTTACTTTTGTAAATGTATTTTTTTGATTTCTCAGAGCGAAGACATAAAACAGAGTATAGGAGAGGGGTAAAATTACTGTCGGCTTTCTTATAGAAGAGTCTGTGTTCATTTGAAAAGCGTGTGATTGCTCTTACTCTGTTTCCTGAGAGTAGAAAGTATTAAATGCTCTTTATAAATAAAAAAATGCTAACAAAGTGCCCTAACGAAATTTTGTGATTTTGTTATGATTTGTCACAACTGGATAGGCGGGTTCAGAATACTTTACCGGGTCCTCCCGCTTTTTTCATGACAAACTCGTCGCAGGCAAAAGATTTTATGAGCGTTCGGGTAGTTTTGTGCTGGCAGAGGTGGGCGTTTGGGTATTTAACCAAAATCACTTGGTGAAACTAATAAGTATGTTTTCTTTTTTTACAGTTGATATTGCTATTGAATTTCAATTTGAAATATATACATTATGTTGAGTAGGCATTTCCATTTGGGAAGATATTAGCTACAAGCAAAAATTATGGTGTGTTATTATCAGATAAATCTGATGAATCTACAATCTTTCTGACTATATGGTCCAATTTCCACATGTTGTCCTCTTTCATGTTTCATATTTATTTTAAATCGATATTTTGTAAGGACTCCTTGAAGAGAATTATCACATTTGATGTGATGCGTATTGGTTATCGCAACGAAGCCATTTACTTGAGTCCAGATTAATTCAATGGAAATAAGTTTGTTATGATGAGGTGGCAGACTCGGAATAATAAAATTCCATTTCTGTGCCAACTTGTCGACTGAAAATTTTGTGAAAAGTGTTTTATTTGTAGGCGAGTTCAGAATACTTTACTGGGTCCTCCCGCTTTTTTATGACAAACGCGTCGCAAGCAAAAGATTTTATAAACGTTCGGGTAGTTTTGTACTGGCAGAGGCGGGCGTTTGGGTATTCAACCAAAAGCACTTGCTGTAACGAATAAGTATGTTTCCTTTTTTTACAGTTGATTTTGATATTAAATTTCAATTCGAAATATATACATGATATTGAGTAGACATCCCCATTTGGAAAGATATTAGCTACAAGCAAAAATTATGGTGAGTTATTATCAGATAAATCGGTTGCATCTACAATCTTCTCGACTATATGGTCCAATTTCCACATATTGTCCTCTATCATGTTTCATAATTTTTTTTAAATCGATATTTTGTAAGGACTCCTTGAAGAGAATTATCACATTTTTCATTTTGAATGTCGTATTGGTTCTCGCAACGAAACCATTTACTTGAGTCCAGATTAATTCAATGGAAATAAGTTCGTTATGATGAGGTGGCAGACCCGGAATAATAATATTCCATTTCTGTGCCAACTTGTCGATTGAACATTTTGTGAAAAGTGGTTTATTTGAACATACTATGGACAATAGTTCTTTTTCGATCATACTTCCGTCAAATTGTTTTCGTTGAAGTCACTCAATGATATCCACTTTTCTTCATGCATTAGTTGATAATTTTTCAACTTTTCTGGAATGGTACCTTGTATTTTCCACCATAACCCCAGAATTAGGCTAAATATAGTCTGGCATTTCCTTAAAATAATCTTCAAACACATCGCTGATTAGGTCTACGTAATCGTCAGAATACTTGAAATCAAACATCAACAATCCACTAAATACAAAACATCAACACTTTTAATGTGGGTAATGATCAGCAGTCGTGAAAGTATCTATAGTAGAGAGACAAATCTTCAACCTTTCTTCGATGTTTCAGGCTATCAAGTTTGCAAATGATGTTCGCGTTTTCAATCAGGCGGATGGCTCTTTTCTGGACGAAATCCAGCAACTTCAGGGTATGTTTGGGAGCAGCGCTCCATACATGAGAACAGTACTCCAGAGAGGGTCTGATCTGAGCTTTACAAAGCATCAAAAGTTGCTGAGGTGTGTATAGTTTTCTGGTTCAGAACAGTGTTCCAAGCTTTTGAGAAGAAGCCTTTGCAATTCCAGCGACATGATTGTGCCATATTGGTGTCCATTTCAACCCCGAACAAACATATCGAAGCAGAAAGCGGAATTGTCTTGCCTGACATTATTATATCCGGTTCGGAGACAATTACCTTCGTGGAGAAAATCGATTCCTGGGTTTTCGTGACATTGAATTGAACCTAGTTGCTTTCACCCCAATTCGAAATCACTTCTAGATCCTCATTAAGATATGCAACCTCCTGTTGCCGGTGAAGATGTGCCTCCGTAGCCGATATCTTGGAATCCAAATGTAATGCCGAGACAAGTGTGTTGTCATCAGTAAAGTAATATATTAGAATTTGTTTTTTTTCCAATAAGTCGTTGATATACAATAAAAAGAGGGTTGGAGACGATTGGATCCCTGATTGACACCAGCGTTGATGGTGAAAGTATTCGAGAGATATCCATCGACGGCCAGTTGCAGGGAACGTTCTTTCAGGAAGCTGGAGAGCCATACACAGAAATGATCCAACAAACCATAGCATAAAAATTTGGCCAGCAAACTCTCA